AAGGAGGTGAATTAGTACTTTTTTTAAAACTTTCATTAATTTAAAAACTCACTCATGAAACTGTATCGAAAATGTATTTAAACTTAGAGAGCAAGCGAGAGTAGTAGACAATTAAATCAATAAGTAATGGTAATGAAAAGCAAAAAGAAGTGCACATCAAATTTATAGTGGTTCAATCGTTGCGACCTACATCCACTCCTGATTCCTCTTCTGTCAAAACCATCGACATCTACTAACAATCTTTTTTCAATAGATGAAAATTAACTACCCTCTTTACAACTCTTTTTACTTTTATAAGTTTAGGAGAGAACCTTCATGAGTCTCATACCTCCACTCTAAACTTGAAAAAAAAAGGAGGGGAATACTTAAGACTTTTCAAGCTTTTACAACTCAGAATCACTATTCTTTTTATTCAATTTTCTTGCTATCTCAAGCATGAAAGAGTGCAATAGGCTCCAAATGACTTCAAAAGTAAAAATGTCTCATCTTGGGTTTCAAGGGTTCTAGTGGTACCACTGCCAACAACCCAGGTATTGACGGTACCACTGCTCGATCTAGGCGGTACTATCGCCTGACATAGTCTAGAAGACTGTATTTGGGTGATACCACCGCTAGTTTAGGTGGTACCATTGCTTGACACTAACTATGGGCCCAAATCAGCCTTAATTTAGGCCTATTGAGCTAGTATAGTTATACTCAAAACTAACTCAATTAGATCTAATCTATTTTGATCAAGACATGACCAATTACAATACGAGAATACTATATTGTTCGGCATGTCATTGGTTTATTTACGTTTTGTCCAAACCTTCAGCGCATCATCCTCTCCGGTGTATTGCCCAATCAACATATTAACCTTCCGTAATATCCTATTTTCTTAGCGCAATATTCAATCCTTTTGGCTCGGTGCCCGAACTCATGGTACAAAGTCCTTATGCCAGCACGTCAACCAATTTTCTGACATGATCCATTCTAGCCCAACATCTGATTCTTTTTACTTCAATCGATTTATCTTTACATGATCGAGATTAGTCCTACGTCATTTAAACACTAATTAGATCATAATTTAATCATCAAAATTCGAGATTCAAAAATCTTTCTTTTTTTTATGATGATAATCAATTAATGATTAAGTTTAACTAAACTCTCCTTATCTATATGTCATATCGAAATAGAGTAAATTTATAATTTTAGAATTTTAAGGCGAAATGGTTACATCATAAGTTAAAGAATTACGTGCATACTTTTAAATTATCATATATAATTTTAAAATATAAAATTATCATTATTTTAAATTATCGTACATAAAATCATCGTTACATTAGACATATATTGATCGAGAGAGAAGACTTATGCACGGAGTTTGCAGCGACTATTGTAGAAGACAACAGAGCTCGTGAACAGGTCCGACATGTGAAGCAAGATGACGAAATAATACCAAACCACTAGTAATGCATGACAAAGACATTGTCCTCGACCACGGCGTCGCGGGTCCCGAGGTCGACGCTGTACGTCCTGGCTTGGGCGTAGCCGCGGGCCAGCCGGAACAGCCCGCTCCCGCCCACCACCGGCATCTCCCGCACATCGGAGAACACCGCGTTCCGCCCCAGGACGGTGATCGTGCTCCCGTTGTACTTCCCCTCCACGAAGGCCAAGTTCATGGCCATGAGTAGGGCGGTCTCCTCCTTGGCGGCGAGCGCGTAGAACCCCTGCGCCCGGCCGACGAGCCGTGACGACATCTCCGGCCCCACCGTCATCGGGTCGTCGATCACGACCACCGTGCCGAACCCGCTGGCCGACGCGTTCGTGGACGAGGCGGCTGCCCGGGCCACGGGGACGGCGGTCGGGTCCGGCCCGCTCACCACGTCGTGCCAGTAGAACCGCAGGTGGCTCAGCTTCTCGCGCACCGGCTTCTTCACCAGCTTCTCGCTCTGGAGGAACCCATGCGGCTCTTCTGCTGCCGAAGCAATAGCGAACACAACAGCAAAGAAGAAGAAGAAGACGGTGGTAAAGGAAAAGCCACGGAGTTCGGCCATGGCTGCACCCACGCTGGAGAGTGTTCAGGACTCGGAAGCGAAGGCCTTCGTGCCCAATCCTTCTTAAAAGAAAAGGAGAAGTGACAGATGTGGCTGCACAGTAACCATGTCTCCAGAGCGAGAAGGCGAGCAAAATTCTTGGATGGGCTGGAATGGTTGGCTGCAAGTAGGCGAGATAAAGTGTTTTGCCGGTGCCAAGAAAAGCTCTTTCCTTGGGTAGGTTATGTGCCATCATTGTCTTGCTTCATCAGGTCAAACACATGCGTTGCTCTCTTCGACCGTGTCAGAATGGCCACCCTAACGCATTGTGTGAAGGACCATGCCGACCAGTTGAGACTTCTGCTGCTCTCAGGATCACATCAAATGATGGAGATCTTGACGTCCGTCAAGAACAGTGGAAATCGTCTCCAAAGGAGAAAGAAACCAACAGATCTCAAGTCATTATAAGTTGGAATTCTTTGTTGATTCTTCTCGCCGTCCACAGCAGTCCTAAATTAGAAGAATCAATATGCATGCAACACTCTTTGAAGTTTAGGCCACCAAAATGATTATATTTATTGGAAGATAAATTGTAGTTTATGTTTGAGAAGAATTGGTTTTGAGATTCCTAATAAAGGTTTTTTCTCGGATTATAAAGTTTGAAGAGAAAATAGTTGTGAAGGATTTTAAGGATATGACAGATGATATGTAATTCGATAAATGGAAATAGTCAAACTGGTTCTTAATAAGAAAAAAATAATAGAGCATTAAAATTCATCTATCAGGTAATAAATACTATACTGAATGGATCTTCAAAGCAGAAGTTGGCTGAAATTTTCGATAATCTTAGTTACATTTTTTATTGCAATTGAAGAAGTCAAATGATAAAAGAAAGAGAAGTATGATCAACAGAGGATGCCATTTAAGAGAAGTAATTGAGTTGCTTCCAGTGGTATCATCTTCCAGAGCAAATGAAGAGTTCTAGACAAACTGCATGGACAAAATCTAGTTCAGGATGCCAATGAAGAGAATTTTCAGCACTGATAACAAAGAACAGAGGATCCAAGTCCACATAAGATTCCATGGTTCCCCTGCATATGATGCAAAATCAACCATAGTCACCATCTCTAACATTGCACACCTCACTCCCATCACCAATATTCTTGTTTGTCCTGCATAGCCACCTTGAGCATCTTCCAACATTGATGTAAATGACCTACCTGTATCAGTCATCTATCTCCATAACTTAAATCCTATTCATGCCTTACACTGGTTGGGGAAATGCTCAATCTTTTCCCACCTACCAGTGTCCACTTCCTGGCTCTTGCTAGCCATTGGGCACTTGTTGGTCTTTTCTGGTGAGCTTGGATGATGGAGTGATGTGGTTGTTCACTGGCACTGAAGCTGCCAGTCTCTTTGAGGGTGAGAGTGAGATGGTCAACAACTGCATTGCCAGGCCTACACTGCCTAATAAGGTGATGAAGTCACACCAACAATTCAAGTCTAATAAGCTTCTTCACAGCCATGCAAAATAGTGTGGTAGCAAAGCACTCCTCTTTGTTCCCATGTTAGTGTACCACAAAATGAACCATAATGTTTATTCTGTTTATGTTGAGAATGAACCTAATTGTTCTTGTAATTCTCTTTTGAACAAGTAGATATTTATTGCATTGTAGATCACAATGTTGTTTTGATTGTTTCATCCTCCACACACTTGGAAGAAGCATCTTCCAGTACATCTTGCAGGTCATGCGCTTAGCTTTCAACCTTTAAACTATCTTCTAGACCACACCTATTTGTTTTATCTTCACTCTTCGCTTGTATATGTTTCCCAAGAAGAATGGGTTTGTTGATGAGCAGAAAGCACTCTCTCTGGGTTGGTCAAGACAGAGGCTTGGCTGGAGACAAAAGTGTTGGGCATGCGTGGATGTTTGTGTTCTTATGGAGGCATGACAAGGAGGCAATGGTTGGTGGGGGCTCATGATAATATATTTGAGCCCCATATCAGTGGGATTGGTTGGTGTGCTTACCAAGTATTTGGTTGACAGCTCTTCCAGAATGAATGCCCTGTGTTAGGCCTGTGAAAGCCAGCAATTAGTTAAGAAAGAAGAAGAAGAAGAAGAAGAAGTTGGTGAGCTCTTCTAGAAATCATATGTCATTGGGTTCCTGAAGCATTTGGTAGCCTGTCAGAGTTAGCATCATCACATTAGCTTTCAAGTGGTTTGATTCCTGGGATCCTTTTCATGGATTAACAACTCTCATTTGAATTGGAAGCAGCTTATTGCCATCAGGATTTAAAGTCACACTGCCATACTTCAACTCCTGCCATTGCCAGTGAAGAGGTAGAGAAAAATTGTTGCCATGCCACAAGCAGCCAGTGGTTAGGTGGAACCAAAAGCCCATGACAGTTCCCTCCTCTAGAAGCCTTCCCAA